CTTTTAAACTTTAATATTTTTGTTGAGATATGTTGAAATATGCTATGAAATATGTTAAGATATGCTGTTGAAATATGTTGAGATATGTTGAAATATGTTGAGACCATTTGAGATGTACATACCATTATGAATGTTGAAATATGTTGTTTTTATTGATATATGCAGGTGTTGGGCTACACATGCTGGAGGGTTGAAATATCAGGTTGAATGTGGTCCAAGACACTAACATGTGGTGGACATGGGCTCCCACTGTTGTTCTTGTAGAAAATGGGACCTGACAGGCATCACATGTATCCATGTAGTAGTAGTCATGCAATTGCACAATGATCGGCCTGAACCTTATGTTAATACATGCTACCACAGATCCACCCAGCTCGCAATATTTTTTAATTTCATTTGTCATGTCAAAGGTGAACTACTCAACTATTGACATATAAAAGAATAATTTATGTCATGCTAATTTTCTAATCTTCTTTCTTCTTTGTTAATAGGTGCTAAAAAATGGACTAATGTCACTGAAATGGAGCCTATTATGCCTCCAGAATAGAGAATGCCACCTGGAAGGCCAACCAAAAAAAGGAGGAATGAAGCTGATGAAGAAAATAAGAATGAACCTAAATTAAGCAAAAAAGGTTCAATGATAAACTGCTCTAAGTGTAGTAAACCTGACCACAATAAGATAACCTATAGAGGAGAAGTTGGAGGTAACAGGAGACTAAACTAACATGAATATGGATCCAGCCAACGACATGCACCTGACCAACCATCCCAACAGTCAACTCCAATGTAACAACAAGCTCGAACCGTCCAACCTACAAGGAAACAACAATTAAGGCAAAAATTACCTACAATGAGACCACTTAATCAACCTACAACAGTACGTTGGATGATGACACCATCTACAACAGTCCATGCAATGCATGGCAATCAAGAATCTTGTGTTTTTAACCCTCACAATCAAGATTTACACACTATATCAACAGAATGAAGTGTATCCAAGTGATGATGGAACGTTTTGTGTTGTTTACTTAGGAACTTGACTTAATTTGTCATATACTGGCTTCTGATTTATTGGCTTTATGTATAGCCATTCTTTTTGTAAAGTTTACCTAGGAACAATCCATATTTTGACTTGAATTATGCTTTGGCTTAATTTTATAATGAATTAGAGAAGGTTTGACAAATTATTGTTCTTAATTGTATTTTGACTTGTATCAGTTTACTGGTAATGAAATACATCATATTTTGACATTTCTTTGTAATATTCAATTTTTGATTATTCTTGCAGTTCAATGCAAAAGAAAAAATTCAATGCACAATGCAAAAAAAAACCATTGCAAAATAATACCACCATAAGAATTAATCTGGAAATACATACAAACTTTCATTAGAAAAACTTTCATTACAAAGCTTTTAATCCACCATTCAAATAACAAATTCTTCAACAAAGAAAATCCTTTCATTTCTTCATTTTATTTTGCTAACCCAAAGTTTATAGACACATAAAATCAAGATAACAAGCCAAAAAATCCTCTAATTTCTCCTCTCCCTTTCCACTTTTCTTAATTTCTTCAACAACACTAAGCAAACAAATGTTGCCCGAGGCACCATGGGAGGATCCATCCAAACAAAAAAATGACATTATTTTTTCCATAGTTTCGGCAACAAAGGTGAATATGAAGGAAAATAGGTAGATTAGAGGGATTTGGTTTTTATTTAAAGGGGAAAAGATGATTAACGTTGGAGTACTGCTCTCTTCCACCATGGCATTCTAGGTAAGCAGCTAACGGTCCACATGTGTTTTTCGTGACGCCTCTTAACGGTTGTTAACGGCGAGTGACCAATTTGTAACAAACGATAACGTTAGTGACTGATTTTTAACTTTTGAAACATCAGTGGTGAAAATGAAAACTGACCCAAACATCAGTGACCATTGGCGTAGTTTAACCTTTATTTCATTTTTTTGTCTTCTTGTTAATTTGATTTCTTGTCCTTTTCTCACATGTTGCTCCACCCGTGTGAGGCCGTTTGAGGTGTCTTTCATTCCTCTGTAAATGGGTGTTCATCCTCTGTTACACTACTCACGGAAGATGGTGGGGGTACTAGCGGAGAGCATGCGAGAGACCCAAACGCTCACGCATGCATAAAACGTGCGGTGGAGCTGAACCGTTGATCTTTATGGGACCACGAGGGCCTTTGGATCAATGGTCAGATAGAACGACTGATATATGTTTGTGGCGACGTTGAATATGTCTTATTATTAGGGTTTATAAACCCTCTATACTAGGGGTGAGTAACGAAACCGAGAAAACCGACACGAACCGAGTAAAATGGTTCGGTTCGGTTCGATTTGGCTTTAAACGGTTCGGTTTTCGGTTCGGTTTAAAGGCTTTATTTTTTTGATTCGGTTCGGTTCGGGTTTTCCATATGGAACCCATTTGTTCCATATTGAACCGAATAGGCAATTTTTGTAAAAAAAATTATAGTTTCAAGTGATTTTTTCATTGAAAAACCGAAAAAACGAACCGAACCGAAAAACCCGAACCGTTAAAAAACCCGAACCGAACCGAAAAAACCGGTTTCGGTTTTTTCGGTTTTTTAACTATTCGGTTTCGGTTTCGGTTTAAATATTGAAAAACCGTTTATTTCGGTTCGGTTCAATTTTTGGTAAAAAACCGAACCGAACCGAACCGAATACACCCCTACTCTATACTGCATCTAATTTGGAGTGTTGATTTTCAACCAGATCTAACGATTCAAAGGTCCAAAGGAGTTGGCACTCTAAGTGTTAGGGTATCTACTTGTGGGCTTCAATTGGACCTGTCTATTGTTGGTGCTGGGCTAAATAAGGTTAATTGTAATAGTGGGCTGTTGTTGTTGTGAATTGATGATGTGTTAGCCAATTAGGGTAATAAATTGTAACGGGTTGCTGCTTGTTGTGTTGGACCGCTTGAATTGTAACATTTGGGATTGTTTTGTTGTGTTAATAGACTGCAACACAAAATTAATAAATATTAGCATTTATTTTATACTTATATATTGACATTCATATACTTATATTAATACTAATTGATCTAATTAATAATATTAGCATTTATTTTATATTTATATATTGACATTCATATACTTATATTAATACTAATTGATCTAATTAATAAATGTAATATATTCATAATTATATTAGTACTAATTACAATTAAAGAAGAAATAGTAATTAACAAAATTGAAATAAAATTAAATGTTCAAATTTTCAGGAAGAAAAGTATGTATTAAAGTTTAGACAAAAATGATTGTCAACAATATGAGGAAAAAAAATCAGTGATGAATTGTATACTTTACCTTTTCAATTTTTCTTTCATGTTATTTACTTTTCCTCTTACTCTCTACAAGAGAAAAATTCTCTCTTCTTTCTATAATTTCGGTCGTTGATCGATCATAATCACAGTGAGTTATTGCTAATAGTTAAAAATCATCAAATTTCGTCAGTCGGTTCATTTTACTATCCTAAGTTCGAATTCAAGTTTGGATTCACTAAAAAAATACTTCAAAGTCTACTAGTAGATGGAATAACTTTTCAGCTCCCACTGCTCTAATTTGTTGTCGTTCACGGTTGGATCACCTCGATTCTTACTTACGTTGTCTGTAGGTGTCTACTCTCTCTTTTCATCGTTTATATTCGTCAACGGAGCTTCCAACTACCGTGGATGCTGCTTGTTGGAAAGCAAAAGTCCTATTTTTTTTTCCTTTCGCTCGATAGTTCTCCTCTCACCCTTTTCTCTTTTTTGTAGGGTTTGTTGGCCTCTCTTCCTCCTATCCGAAAAAACATGCAAGACAAATGGAGGCACATTTCTAAAAATAGCCTCTTTTATTAATCACTATTATGGTTTTAAAAAACGGTCCACGGTCGCGATTTCGGCCGTGATATAGTGATTTCGTCGCTGTCCGAGTTACCCGCGACGGTCGCAATAGCGCCCGCGACGACCGCAATAGCACCCGCGACAGTCGCAATCACGGTAAATCCAAAATAACTGCAAACGCGACCGCGACCGCGATTTGAAACCTGATCACTATTTCTAAAAAAAAAATACAATGATTCTTCCTGAGTCTAAACACTCCAAATCCTTTCCCCGCATTCGATTTTACAGACAATGCTTTACTGCATCTGGTATACAAATTGTCGTACAAGAGGGATTCTAATCCATTAAAATGTTATGATTATCCTTAGAACTGCTTTGGTGGAGATAACTCTCCTAAAGGAGGGGAGCTAACGGCGTGTGCCAGCTGACCTGGCGCACGTGAGTGAGTTGAGGGGTCCTCACGTAGGTGACACGCGCTACAACTGGAGACCTTCTGGAAACCTCGAGTGGCACTACAACTTTTGATAACCCTAAATTGTTTGGGCCGATTTGTAACGGGTTGAAGGTTTATAATGGTTTGGACGACTGTATGGGTTTAGGGGTAGCTGTTAGGTGGAAGGAGTAAACGAGGGTTCATTATTTGGGTAGCAGGCTTGTAATGGACTCAAAATAAATAAATGTTTAATTTTATCTTCTTTTCGAACGGACCAAAGTTAACCAAATCAATAGGCTAAAACGTTAAATATATATATATATAGCTCTCAAAACAAAAGACCAAAGTTAATTGGTCTTAATATCTAAGCCGGATAAAAATAAGGTATTGCAATAGTTGACAACAAAAGCTTTCACTAAATAGTAGTGGATTAATTTGACTTCTTCCTGCACCATTATACGCTTTCAGATCTTCCTTTTAGATTAATAAATTTCATAATATGACCAATTGAGAAAAGGACAAGAATTCTGATCAATAAAATGTGATTGAGTTTCCTATAACGGGGCACAGCTGTTGATTAGTCCAAAACTGACTTCAATTCCAAAAGGGAAGGGTCCCATGTTTACTCGGTCATTAGTTTGATCGTAACTAGAGCTCTTAATAGTCAACTAAATGCACCCATGAGCCATTCAACCTTGATAAGCATATATGAAAGAGTGACTGCGTAGAAGAATGGCAACTGGTGATCCAAAATCCATGGACTTGGCTTCAAGTGATAAGGAAAACGGCGTGGTTGACTCTCCAGTACAGCTTGATGCAGGAGCTCTATTCGTGCTCAAATCAAGAGGTGGGTTTAGTTTATCAGTTTGGATTTCGATTTCACATGGAGGGAGGTTAACTGTTAACTTTGGTTTGGGGCTGTAGGTTCATGGTTGCACTGTGGGTATCACTTGACCACATCAATTGTGGGTCCTGTTATCTTTAGTTTTCCCTTTGCTTTCTCATTGCTGGGCTGGGCACCTGGAATTCTCATCACGCTTCTTCAAGCTCTGCTCACCTTTTACTCCTACAACCTTCTCTCCCTGGTTTTGGAGTACCATGCTCATCTTGGGAACCGACAACTTCGATTTCGAGACATGGCTACTGACATTCTTGGTGAGTATACTCTTTCATACTAGTATTTAGGGATGATAACGAAGTTGAGAAAATTGAAAACCGATTCGAATTGAACTACGTGGTCTAGTTTGATTTGAGTTTTTCAATTTATGGTTTTTTTTAAAAAGTATAATTATACAATTCAATTCGATTTCAATTTTTTTCATATGAAAATCATTTGTTTCAAATCAAATCAAATTAAAAAATAAAAATAAAATAATTACTCAAAAATAAATTTATTTTGAATTTATTATATGATTTTTTTGTTATTTCATACCTTCTAAATTTCTAATGTCATAATGGTAAAATTAGCCCCTGACATTGATCAAAATAGTTATTTTGACCCATAATATTTTTAGCATTTAGGCCCTAACCTTTCATTTTAAGGTAAAAAACCCTTAATATTTAATTAAATAATCAACTTGACCCTTATTCTTTTGGAGTATTTTTACCCTCAACGTTTCATTTTTAGGGTAAAAGTATTCATATTTTGGAACGGTAACCATTTGTTAACTAAATTTTTTTATATGATGTCATTTCTTCTAATATAACTTCTTAAATTTATGCCCTGACATAAAATTTTGGGTCCGTCTTGATGGTACTTGTAGGAAAAAAACGTTATTAACCAATTGAGTGATTTGGCAGGACCAAGATGGGGCAAATATTTAGTTGGCCCACTTCAAATTGCAATATGCTACGGTGCTGTTATTGCCTGCATTCTTCTTGGAGGACAAAGTCTTAAAGTCAGTTTCTCCAATCTCTCTCGCTAACCATGCATTAATTTGTTCTATGTCACTTATATATTCCTGTATGAATGATATCATGCAGTTCATTTACTTGCTCTACAATCCAAGTGGGAAGATGCAGCTGTACCAGTTTATAACCATATTTGGAACAGTACCACTAGTGTTGGCACAAATACCATCCTTCCATTCACTTAGGCATATCAATCTTGCCTCTCTTCTCCTTATTCTTGCTTACACCGCATTGGTTGTTGCTGGTTCAATACACATAGGTCAGAAATCCCAACAATTATCACATCCAAATGAGCCGATTAGATGTTTACAGTAGCTTATCTTGACAGGTAATTCCAGGAATGCACCTAACAAGGACTACTCAGTGCATGGATCTAAAGAAAACCGTATTTTTGGAGTCATTAATGGTATTTCGATCATCGCCACCACATATGGATGTGGGATTATCCCGGAAATACAGGTACTAGTATTACATTATTCGAGTTCATTGAAGTCGGTAAAAGGAAATACTATTCTAGTTAGAGGATCTAAGTTCAACTAACTTAGTTTGCAAGGTGTGTGCATTTCAATAGACTAACGATTGACTAAATAGTTAGTTTGACCCCTATTTTAATTAGGAGCATTTTGGGCCTTAAACAAATACTACATTGTAATTATTACAAACTATTAAAAATAGGCATAATGCCAAAAAAAGAATAATCCTAATGTTTGATTAAGTAGTCATTTTTCTCTATTCTTTTTTGGGAACATTTTGACCCCAAAACAAATACTACATTCTAATCATCTCATTCTATCATAAAAATGCATAATGCCAAAAAATACATCTAACATTTGACTAAATAGTAATTTTGACACACATTCCTTTTTTGTAAGTAATTTGGCCCCTAAGCAAATAATACCTTATAATTATCATAGACTATTAAAAATGCATAATGTCAAAAATACTACTAATATTTGACTAAATAGTCATTTTGGTTCCTATTTCCTTTTTGGGAGCATTTTGATCTCTAATGTTTAACGAAATAATCACTTTAGCTCTTATTTTATTTTGGAGCATTTTAAACGTTTTATTTTAGGGGGGAAAACCCCCTTATTTTTATAACATTGATCGTTTGTTAACTAACAATTTTAATTTACGAGGATGCCTTTTCCCCTAAAATAAAATATTAGGGGTCAAAATACTCTAAAAAAGGAAAGAATACGATCTAAAAAATCTATTTAATCAAGAGATTCGTTTTATCATTATACCTAAAAAAATAGAATTCCACTATTCTCTTTCCTTTACTTGGTCTCTTGCGTATAAAGAGAGAATGTTTGGTGCAGGCAACAGTAGCTCCCCCAGTGAAGGGCAAGATGTTCAAAGGTTTATGTATATGTTTTGGTGTCATAGCCATCACGTATTTCAGTGTGGCCATCTCTGGTTATTGGGCATTTGGGAATCGATCTCAACAAACGGTTCTTTCCAATTTCATGGCCCGAAACAGGCCATTGCTGCCAATTTGGTTTCTCTTGCTCACCAACATTTTCACACTTACGCAACTGGCTGCAGTCTCTGTGGTAACTACTCTTCCTCATTTCAACTATGTCTGCCAAGTATTAACCCAAAAGCATTATGAGACATCTTAGCTCGTCTTCTTAAAATTTACGAAGAAAAATTTAAAATTAGTACTATATCAACGAAATATCGACTTACAAATTTCAAAATGTACATGATAGGCAACTAAAGTCTTAGTGAAATCTCCTAATTATTTTTGGTCTTCTATATATTTTTGTTGTCACGTTAATTTTATCTTTTACAGCTATCTTATTTTATGTTGATCGCTCTTCGATTATTTTATTCTCTTACAAATTACTAACACAATTGAAGGGTTGGAACAATGTAAGTTCATAAAGAATATCACAAAAATACTCATTTTAACAAACATGCAGACATTATTTTTACTATATTTTTTTTCATGTAACCATTGCAGGTTTACTTGCAACCCACAAACGAAGTATTTGAAAAATGGTTTGCAAACCCAAAGATGGATCAGTTCTCTGCACGTAACGTGATCCCAAGATTGGTTTTAAGATCCTTGTCGGTGATAATTGCCATTGTATTTGCTGCAATGATCCCTTTCTTTGGTGATATAATGGCATTGTTTGGTGCATTTGGAATAATCCCTCTGGACTTCATTTTGCCAATGGTATTGTACAATCTCACTTTCAAGCCATCAAGAAAGGGATTAGTGTTCTGGGGAAACACGTTGATAGCAATAGCATCCTCGGCGTTAGTTGCAATGGGAGCTGTAGCTTCGGTTAGGCAGATTATTCTTGATGCCAACACCTATAATTTGTTTGCTAACATGTAATGCTGAATAATCAACAAGCCAAACAACCTGTGCTCATAAATGAGGTGCAATTGGGAATAAAATATAATGCCATCATTCTCAAAACTAAAATGAATTTTAATAGAAAGTGGTTACTACATTTTAATTTGATGCAAATTATATATATGATTTTTTAGTTTGATTGTATGAATTTAAATGGTTCATGCTAATGACAAATATGTGGCTTTTAAAAATATGATAAAACTGTATACCCAACGAACAAAATAAAATACTGCAATACAGCTCTAGGAAAAGAGATTTTTTGTAAGGGAGTTAAATGTAGAGGGTTTTATCGAGAAAAGTTGAAGCCTTAACTCACTCCTCTCTTTCTTTTATCTTCTTCCTCCCTAGCTTTAAAACCCTAAAATTTGGATGGAGCTTGTCACACCCCCAAAGTTTAGGATTAAATTAAAAAATTATAAAGGTTGGTGTTAGCTTGCAAACTCTTAGAAGCTTAGGGGCTTAGAGCGTGTTTTACCAAAATTTCCGAGTAATATAGTGCCATTCTTTTTTTTTTTTTGGCTCGCGTAAGTTTTGCCCCAACCGTTCCTTCATGTGCTTGTTTAATTTCATTTTTGGCGGCGTTTCTTTTGGCAGCGAGGTACACCGCCAATGTTATTGTTTCCGTCGTTCGTCCAATGTCCATGGTTCGTTGTTTATCGCCACCGTTTATCGGGGAAGGGTCAAACAATTGGATTTCATTAAAACTCCTTCTCCACCGATCTTTTTTATTGGGGAAAAGAATGTTTATAAGTGACTCATTGTGTTTGTCGCAACCGACCCTTCATGGCATGGGGAAAAGCCGACTAGTTATGATAATTTTTTTTTTGGAAAGATTTTTAAGAAAAGATGGGAGTCGCCACCAATCATTTTTAAGGTGCGATTGAACACATAAAGTTGGGTATTTTTAATAAAACATTTTATTTTACCAAAATATCGAATTTTAGTCTACGAAATCAAAAATCAAGTTCAAGAGTCAATTATGCGTGGAGAAGAGTTAGCACCCCACAACACCTAAAAATTAGTACTTAGTCAATTACGTTATATTTTAAAATTAGAAATTTTGAGTTCAGAGTTTTATTTAATTTAAAAGTCACTATGTATGCAAATTTTGAAAAGGATGTTGATTTATCAAGACCAATAACGATCACCCTGGGTAGAAGCAGAAGCTTCGTTATCGATCCCAATAAATGAACATTGCCTTAATGATTTAGAAATCATGATGTAGGTTTTTGGAAAGGATGTTGATTTACTTTGGGAATTACCAGTGGTCACCCCTAGAGCATAACGCGAGAGATACACCATTAACGCCCTAATAAATGAACATTGCGTTGTTTTGAAACTGAAATGAATCCAAGCAATTTATTATTAACCCTAATTATACTAAATGTATTAGTTAAAGGGAAAAACCTAAAAATGTAGGTACTAATATTAGTCCTAAACATATTTTAGTAAATTAAGGAATCAAATAATCAGAATGGAACCTTTGGCATTAAGGCGAGGACCAAATAAAAGTATTCCTTAAATTAAAGGACTAAATATGAAATAAATATAAAGTGGAGGCTTTAATCATTAATCATAGTTGATTTTAATCAATTATTAAATTGAATAATCAAAATGGAACCTTGAGCATTAAGGCGAGGACAAAATTGAATATTCTCCTAAATTAAAAAGTTCAAGGATTAATCTAAAGAAATATAAACTTAGGGACTAAACCTAAAATTTAAGCAATCCATTGAAGGCTACATTAAAATAAATATAAACCTAAAGGGTTCAATCTAAAATCAAAATTCTAGGACTTAATTAAAAAGAATCTAAAATAAGGATCTAAAATTGAAATACATCAAATAAAGGACTACAATGCACAAAAATAGGATGTAAAGCTTAAATTAAGAAAGTGTAGAAAATTAAGAAAAAACTGAAATTTTAGGGACTGAAATTAACAATATATAAAATCAAAAGCAAGAAATTAAAGTAACATAAACTTAAAAGACATAAATATAAATAATAGAGATTAAGATAAAATAAAATTAAATGTTAGTAATCAGTGAGTTAGAAGTTAGTAATTATTTTAAAATTTTATCCATGCCATAAATAATACGGATCTTAGCCTATAGCAACTCACCATAAGGTCAAAAATGATTCGAATTAGTAAGTCATCCTTTAGTAAATTAAAAAGTTAGTAAATTAGTAGCTAATAAGTTAGCAATTAGTAGGTTAGAGATAAATTAATAACAGTGACCAAAATGTAGATAAAATAAAAAAGTAGTGTCAATTCGAAATAAAAAATAGAAATAAGTGACTAAAACAAAGTAAAAGCAAAACAATGCATTAGAATTGAAAATAATAAAAAAGGAAAACAGAGACCAAATAGAAAAACACGAAAAAGATGGAAGGATTTAAGCGCAATTAACCCAAAAACTCGTGCTATATAACTTACCTTATTTTAATTTAGCCATTTTTATCCTACAATCTAAAAAAACGGTGATTTGACATAACTGACACCCTTTGACCCTAATATTCCCTATCTAACACCAATTGACCAATATTTCTCGAAGTAACACCCTTTCGGCTGAGGTGGCACAAAGGCGCATCCCTGGGGACGCGCTTTACCTGGGATTTAGGTTACTGGGATGCCACACGGGTAAGGCGCATCCCTGGGGACGCGATTTCACGGGGTTTTGCTGAGTCGAATGCCACGGGGGTAAAGCGTATCCCCGGGGATGCGCATTTCATTAAATATCATAAATGCCCATCCGTTTTTTCCTCAACTACCACCCTCATCCTCCCCTATATAAACCCCTTCAACCCTCCCATTCTTCACACCAAAACATCTATTCCTCTATTATATAACTCAAATTCTCCTTTCATTTGAGTCTTAAATTTCTTATTAGTGGTAAGAAATTTTTGTTTAAGTTAGTATTTTAAAATAGTTGTTATATTTTTTATTATTATATTTATATAAATATTATTTTTTTATTAAAAATAATATTTATATAATTATTATTTATTTTAAATTAATTAATTAATTATTATTTGTGCTAATTATATTTTTTTGTCTACAGTTATAATGGAAAGCGAAATGCTGCTGCGATTAGATACAAACCATATCTCTAGACATTTTAGTGATATGGTAATAATATTTTTAATTTATGTTAATATTTATTATTATTTTTAGTTTAAATTTATCATGAATTTATATTAATTTTAACTTTTTTGAATGCTTATTAATTAGGAAAATGATCGTATTTTAGAGACATTTATTAAAAACCCACGTATACCGACACCAACACGTATTTTGCCATATCTGTCTTCTGTCTGGTTCGGGTATATTGCACATATTATTGACGGTTGCAAACTCGAACCTGTCCTAATTTCTGCATTGATTAAGAGGTGGAGGCCCGAGACACACACATTTCATCTTCCATGTGGAGAGTCTACAATTACATTGGAGGATGTCTCCATGCATTTGGGGCTTCCCATCGACAGAAATATTATGTGTGGTATGGCCGATGGTGATTGGCAGTCAATGTGCATGGAGTATCTTGGAGCTGCTCCGCTAGAGTTTAATGGAGGTAGAATAGCTTTATCATGGCTGAAAGCTAATTTTGAAGTTTTGAATGAAAATGCTTCTGATGAAGAAGCAAAGGCATGTGCTCGGGCTTATATTCTACAAATCATTGAAGGAATATTGATGTCCGACAAATCTCACAACCAGGTACATTGTATGTGGTTGCATCATCTGATTGATTTTGATGAAGCTGAAAGATATAGTTGGGACGCTGTAGTTTTGTCATTTCTCTTTAGAGAAATGTGTCATGCAACGAATTATAAAAAAACTGATATCGGTGGATGTCTCCTGCTTCTGCAATCATGGGCGTGGTTCTGCATGCCTTTCTTATGCCCGATTGTTAATGAGCCATACATATTCCCCTTATTATTGAGGTAATTTCTGAACTAAATTTTGATTTAAATATTTTTAATTAAATAGGGTGATATTTAGTTTATATTATATTTCATAGGTGGTGGATGGAAAGAAAAAATCATAGAGATATCCCTACTGAACTAGAGAAAATACGTTTACTTATTGATACAAAAGCTGGGTCAGAGGTATGTTTTTAAATCTGTTTAAATATGAATATTTTAATTTAAAATGCTAGATATAAATAGAATATTATATTTATTTGAATTGTATATTTATATTTAAGTTTTAGTGGATATCTTATGCGAGCGATGAAGTAAAGGCTTGCATCCCACCCCACCTGAGTGGGTCATTAGATGTTTGGATGCTAGTTGTACCTCTTATATGTTATGCGATTGTTGAGTGACATCTTGTTGATCGTGTGCTATATCAATTTTGTTGTACGCAATATATTCCCCGAGCACCTAGGAATTTAGACGACATGCATAACATAGACAGACGAGGAAATAAAGAGGTTAACTGGGTGGTGAGACACATAGATTGGATTTCAATTTGGAAGAACTGGCATGCACAGTTGCCCCCTCGACAATTTTACGCTTAAACTGGTCATATGGTTACGGATAACTATATGAAGTGGTTTAATGAAAACGGGAAACCGTTTCTACTTTTGACGGAAACATGAGGGGTTAGCATTTATAGGCACCGAGATAGACGTCCACCATCTCAATATCATCATCCCCCGAGTCGTGGACAGAGAGAAGATGCTATCAGTTCGGCATCAGTCCCACCACAACATCCATATCCACCAATGATGATGCCACAGGGATACATGCCCAGCCCTTCAGTTCATATTCCATCTCCGCAATGGTATATGCCAAGCCCACTAGTTCATATGCCATCTCCACAGGGTTACATTCCTAGCCCGCCATGTTACATGCCTAGTCCGTAGGGTTTTATGACACCCTATGGAGGTGCATATACGGCTATGTTTAATAATCCAACATATGGTTCATATGCTTCTTATTTGGCTGGTGGTGCTTCTGCAAAGACACCTCAATCTCCATCTGGATCACAAACATTGATGCCAATGTTTTCAAAGTTTTCTCAATTCTCTATGAGC